ATAATTTAAGAGCCGCTCTCTTGTCGTTTGGAGCTCTAGCCACTTTCCACGACACTACTAAACTACACTACACTTTTAAAGAGTAATGGAAGATCTCATTACTCTTTAAAATACAACACGACCCCATCATCTGCTTCTTCCCTATCCCATTTATTTGTGATCGGCGTAATATGTTTTTCTCTTCCATTCATCCCTGTTCGCAGTCATCTCGTTATTTACTCCCTTTCTCACCATATCTTTCTCACAGTCCATCCATCTCGTTTTCGGTCTTCCTCTACCCTTATAACCATCCACATTCATATGTAACACCGTCCTTAGGATATGATCTTCATTCTTAAAATACAACACGACTCCAATTTTGTCTTTAATTTGCTTGATGTAGCGTTGTTAGAGTATACGTTGTTGCTTTAATTGTTATCTAATTACCACTACACGTAGGTTGTTTATTGCTTACTCACATCCTGTCATTGATTTCATGGTTTTAAACTTATTTATACGTTCAACTGATTAATTTTATGCATAAATGGCGGGCGTTATGCGTAAATTATAAGCAATAAAAAAAATAAAACATTTTTTTTTATGAATATGATCTACAATAATAAAGTATCTGTTAGTAATTTACTATTATATAATTGGCTTTTGACACGAATAATTTTATGGTAAATAACGTATATAATATCATATTTTTTTATATCGATTTGTTTATTTCTTTTGTTTGGTTGTTTTCATATGTAATTTTTCTTATAATAATTTTCATTAATATCCGTTCTATAGTTTTTGCGTGAAAGAGTAACAAACACCCATCCATCCATCCGTACTCACAAAACTTTCGCGTTTATAATATCAGTAAGATTCTTATTAATATTTTACAAAATTAATTAATATACTGTCAAAAATAACCAGCAGAATTGGCCATTGGCTGGTCAGATAATGCGTGACACAAGGGCAAAATGGAGAAGAAGAATAATAGATCGTAAAGAACGAAACAGAAAGAGTGAGGCAGTTAAAGAAATGGGATGATGAGTTGAAGTCAACTGTGGGACAAAATGGAGAAAAGTTTGTGATGAGTGGCGCATGATATAAACCAATGGAAGTCGCTGGAAGTATCCTATGGCCTTTTGTTACACTGAAATTATAGATCAATTGTAAAATTGTATGATTTAAGCTTTATTCTGAAATTTACAATTTACAATTCTGAAATTTATAATTATTTATAAAATAATTGTAAATTTCAGAATAGAGGGCTTTATTATTATTACTAGCCCCGGCTTCGGCCGGGTGTACATGTATTATTATATATATAAACCTTCCTCTAAAATCATTATATCTATTAAAAAAACCGCTTCAAAATCCGTTGCGTAATTTTAAAGATTTAAGCATACATAGGGACGGACAGACAGCGACAGCGACTTTGTTTTATACTATGTAACAATTATACTATTAGTATTTTGTTATAAGAACAAATTATTGATGAAACTTTTTATTGACTCACAGAAAAAATATATTCCGTAACGTAAAAATAAAAAAAAAAAATACATAGATATGGCTGATCTATGATCTATTTGTCAATGCGGTAAGATGAGCTTGTGTTATGGCTACTAAACAACTGATATAAATACTTAGATATATTATTTTTTGTAAGTACATAAAGAACAATAATATACATAAAGAACATCCAGATCGATACAAATAATCATACTCATGAATACAAATGTTTACACCGTGCGAGGAATCGAATTCGCGACTATCGGAAGTAAAGTGGTGTGCTAAACCACTAGACCACCGAGGTCATCATCTGTAATAGACCTACATGTAGGATTGCCATCCGTTTTGAGGGCATCCGGGGAGCGTCCGGGGTATGTAATTTTTTTTAGGTTTAATATTAAATATATTAAAAATTTTAAGAATAAAAAGAATCGATCTGAATATTAAAACAATTTGTAACAAACTGTAATAAGATTCAGTTTTGTTAGGTATATTTAAAATTATGATAAAAAATTGCTATATTTAATTTTAAGGTCCAAAAATAAAAAGATGATGACATTGACATGACATTTCTAACGCTTTTTATTACACTGATTACGTTTAAAAAACCTTCCGACATGTTAACAAATGGACTTCTATAGATATATTTATTGAAATACTTTTTAAAACTTACTAGAATAAAATAGTTTTATTTCGTAATAAATCACGCCCAATTAGGCAAATCGAACCTAAGCAAACTTTGCCTAACTCGAACACGACGAAGGACAATGAATTGTGTAAACTCTATAAAAATAATTGTTTGAATACACACATGACTTTAATGTACATGGGTTCTGAACTCTAAACTCCGGGGTATCATGCGTCTTGGACATTTTCTATATTTTAGAGATGGCAACCCTACCTATATGCATAAACATTTTGTTTTGTTTCAATATAATTTACTTTCAAAATTGTATGTACTTACCATAATCTCGCCATCGTTTTAACCTGCCCATTGCACAATTTAACTATCAAGTTCACAGTTAAATTAACACTTAATTAATATTCTAACTACACATCTTTAATTGCACATAATTAAGTAATAACATTATAACTTTGTTGCGTTACGAATCAAAACTAATTTGTTGAAAGAATTTATTCGTGCAATTAAATTAAACACTATCATTCACTTATATCAATTAATACTGAAACGTTTTCTATACGTTTTATGTGATTAATATTATTAACGTGAAAGTTTCTGAGTATGGATGGATGTAACTCTTGATGTAAAAACTGAATTTTGAAGAAACTTTACAGTAATATGACTTATACATCAGAATATATGTAAATTGGGCGAAATATAATGGTAAATGTCAAGTAAGACGAAGTTGCGCGGGTAAGCTTGTATGTAATGTATTTTTTTAATAATATATTACAAAAAATACGGCTGTAATATGTGCAAACGATCGAGCACGCAGTGAGCACGCGTGCGCGCTGCACGCCCGCGATTTTGCGACTATGCATGCGCCCGCGCAGACCAGTGTCGTCCTCATGTCATTGTATTATTAAGGTGACCAACTATTTTTTGTTTAAAAAGAGTATTTCAAAGGTAAGAAAAGAAGAAAAAACAAAAAAAGATAAAATCTTTCTTTTCTTTTAAAAACAAATGTTACTTCGGAGTGTTTTTTTTGTTAAATGCGGATGTTCGTCTAATAATGTGGCCATATCCGAACAACTTTAATTTTGCATATTAAATTTGATTGTTAAGACGGCAGATAATGTTTTTACAGACTGCTCAAATAATCATTCCCTAGTGAAAATACTCTTTCAACAGCAGCATTAGTACCTGAAACGGCAAGCAATATGCGCACGTGAAATTTAAATCACTGACAACATAATTTTAAATATTTAATTAATAAAATTAAAATATAATAATCTACAAAAATTTTTCATAAATACAAATGAGTACAGGATTTGAAAATAGTAAAAAGAGAGTTTGCGAAAAAGGAGTATGTGTCTACACTTGTAATATTTCTGTCAACACTTGAGACCCTTCCATTAGTTTACGTCTCCACTAACATAGATTTAAGTTAAGTGGAAAATCAGTCTACGTCCCGACTCCGCGTCGACTGGACGCGTTATTATTAAGCCATGTAGTACACTACCAATAAACTTAATAATGTACAATAAATAGTACAATTATTTCACTTGTATACTCACTACCTACATACTACAATAAATAATATATTATGTAGCGACATATCACATCATATATAATGCTACAGTGATGAGGATAACTCAACCGTGCTACAAGTACAAAACTCAGTAAATGACTATACTTGGTCACCTTAGAGTTATCGATTAAGGAAAAAAATGATTCAAGGTGCGAAATCCCATTAGTTGCTTAGAGGACTTGAGATGTTCTAAGAACAATGTAAAGTTTTTATCATCAAGATCAACATGCTTTATTCGTGGTAAAACATTAAATATACTGACGAATGTAATGTTAGGAAAGATATTCGGAGGCACTTTAGAATAGAACAGAATAGAAAATCATTTATTCAAATAAACTTTTGAATAGTCATCACATTTTTTCCAATCTACCGCTCATTCGGAAAGCAGTCTCATCACAAGAAGAACGAGCAAGAACTGTATACTAAAACATGGATTTTTGTTGTGCATAGGCCTAGGTTTTAAGGTTAACTCACTATAACCGTTTATGGTAATCAAATTTCTTCTAAAAATGCATTATTTTCGAAAGTGTTTTTATAAACATGATATTAATTCTTATCCCAATAATTACGTTACTTATTCATTCATTCATTCATAATTTAAGAGCTACGCTCTTGTCGGTGGAGCTCTTGCCACTTTCCGCGATCTTCCATTATGCTCTTTAATTCTTGATACGACACGACTCCCATCTTCTCTCCACGTAATTTATTATGAGTATTTAATTTTGAACAAAACTGTCCTTTACATCATTTGATTTCACTTTAGATAATAATACTTGTACTTTCCTCTACCGGTATTATACCCAAAACACTTCAAAATAGTCTGCAAACATTAAACATTCATCCATCCAAAACATATCTCCTACAGAAAGAAATATTAAATACGTCGCATAACAAAATTCATATCCTCCTCAACAATATCTTTACTTGGCTAAGGCCCGTGTAGGTGAGTTGAAAATTCTTATCCTCCTCAACAATATCTTCACCCAGCACAACCTCTCCCACACTTGGCCAAGGCCCGTGTAGGTGAGTATTACCTTCTTTTAAATCGATAAAAGAAGAGAAAAAAAAGGGAAAAAAGAATAATAATAATAATAATTTTTATTTGTCTCAGTCAAAAACTTTCCACACAATACAACTGTTGCCCATACAATAATATAATTTAAAAGTAATGAATGAGACAAAACGGTCTATAACTCAGTGAGGGCAGTGAGTCCACCCTCTCTGCTATTCTGTTACAGCCTTCATCAGTAAAATACAATGTGAGATCGACGACGACAATAGCATTAGCAGTATTGTCTTTATATTTTGCCTAAACGTCCATTTCTTATTAGATTGTATAAAAAGTAAATGCAGTTTCAATAGTACTACCACTTTTGTTCTACATAATTATCATACCTATTTCACTTTAACATTTAAAATATCCACCCTTCTTTATTTTTGTGCTTAGGATTACGGTCCAGTAAAAACTAAACAATGCCAAAAAATAAGAAGAAGGAAATGAGTTCTAGCAGCGACAGCGACGATGGACCTGTTGATAGAAATCCTCCACCAGAGAAAAAAGCCAAAACAAGTTCAAGAACAGATGACAAAGAGCCAACTTGGGTTTTACAAGGGAAGAAGTTGGTGAAAGTCAGAGAATTTAAAGGCAAAGTTTACATTGATGTACGTGAATTCTATGAGAAGAATGGTGAATTATTACCAGGGAAGAAGGGCATTAGTTTAACTCAGGAGCAGTGGAGAAAGCTATTGTCTCTAAGTGATGAAATAAATGACACAGTCAGCACTATGTGTTAAGTCAAAATGTATGTTATTCTGAAAGAAATATACAACTCTATCTATCTATATTAAGTTAAGTTTTAAACTACAAGTAACAAAGTAAACATAATAATTGACAATAACAAACCTAAATATATATATTGTTTGGGAAACTACTCTCTGCTACCAAAATGTTAGGGAATTTACTATATCTGTCACGTACCTGTATGGTTCTGCGGATTTCTTGGGCTTCAGGGTCTCGAAGGTATCTTCGCTAGCTTTCCAGTTTCACAGTAGGTTTAACACAGTTCTAATTTATTTTAATTCACAACACAATGCGCGCGCGCGTCATGGCCGCCGTACAGTCGGTTCAGTACTAGTTAAGGGAGGGGAAGGAAAGACGCGGGAACACAAACTAACGGACTTTAATATAATAATCTGTGCTTACGATGATACAGGGTAGATTTTGAACATATATATTTCTATAATATATATATCTAAACATTATTCAGGATTAGTTTTAAGAACGAAGAACCTCGAATACTGAGCCCGTGTGAAGCCGAGGCGGAATGCTAGTGTAAACTTTATTTTTGCTGTATACTATTCGTTTTGACGTTCAACAATATGAGCTGATGGGTGACCTTCAAATACAAAGCTCGCTAGGGACTGTTTTATTGCACGTTTCAATTTTACGATTCCATAAACAGTGACTTTGTAATACAGCTTCGTACTTAATTTTTATTATATCGGTATGTCCCTTTTTATTCATTACTAGCTTTACCCGCGATTTCACTTGCGTGAAATTCATAGCCTAAATGTTATTTTGATGCATAAGCATACATGTATATACTAGCTGTACCCGCGACTTCGTCTGCGTGGAATTTAACTTTATTTTTCTAAAATAAATGTGGCCTAAGTTACTTCTTATTACATCAGCTACCTGCTAAAAGTCCCGTCAAAATCGGTCCAGCCATTTCAGAGATTAGCCGGATAAAACTGACCGACAAACAAAAATGGTAAAAAAAGTATTTTGGTGTATGTATCATACATATATTCATATGCGTGTAGTAAAAAACGGTTATTTCAATATTACAAACAGACACTCCAATTTTATTTATATGTATAGATGTATAGATATATAAATCGTAGGATATTTAACACCCTTCTATCACCAACCCCTATTTTTAAATAACTACTTTAATTTATATGGCAAAACAACTTTTGCGGGGTCAGATAGTCTATACATATAAATAAAACTGCAGTGTCTGTTCGTAATATTAAAATAACATTTTTTTTACTACATGCATATGTATATAAATACGTTACATACACCAAAATAATATTTTTCACAATTTTTGTCTGTCTGTCTGTCGGTTTGTTTGTTCCGGCTAATCTCTGAAATGGCTGGACCGATTTTGACGGGACTTTTTTTGGCTGGTAGCTCATGTAACAAGGAGTAACTTAGGCTACTTTTATTTTAGGAAAATAAAGTTAAATTCACGCGGACGAAGTCGCGGGAACAGCTAGTTATTAATAAAGAGGAAAACCACACTTGTCAGTTGCGTGTTCTCAAAAATCTACGCTATCGACAGCAATCTATTTCCTTGAAATTTCCTTGAGACATTCAAAGTGGGTAAGATCCGTAGCTCGAGATACGTTTACGCAAGCAATTGTGACACTTGAACGAGCACTATCATCATTACATAGTATAAAACAAAGTCGCTGTCGCTGTCTGTCCCTATGTATGCTTAAATCTTTAAAACTACGCAACGGATTTTGAAGCGGTTTTTTTAATAGATAGAGTGATTCAAGAGGAAGGTTTATATATATATAATACATGTACACCCGTGCTAAGCCGGGGCGAGTAGTGCAGATATAAAGTATTAGAAATCAATCTACGACCTACGGTATAGTGGTTGAACACCGCCTCAATTTCTTATGGTTGTGGGTTCGATTCTCGTAAGATAAAATTAAAGTGTCTGTTTGTAATTTCAAATTAATAGCTTTTCACTGAATGCATTTGAAGGTATTATACGGTACTTACATCAAAAAGTAAATTAAGAAATTTTAGTTTTTTTTTTAATATTCAAAAGTTACTACTTCTATTAACTATCGAGTAAAAGTCCCGTCAAAATAGGTCCAGCCATTTCAGACATCAGCAAGAACAAACACACAGACAAATTTTTTTTATACTTTCATATACATTTAGTGAAAAGCTGTTAATTTGAAATTACAAACAGACACTGCAATTTAATTCATGTATATACAAGCTACTCGCCCCGGCTTCGCACGGGTGTACATTTATTTATTCTATATATAAACCTTCCTCTTGAGTTACTCTATCTATAAAAAAAACCGCTTCAAAATCTGTTGCGTAGTCTTAAAGATTTAAGCATACACAGGGACGGACAGACAGCGACAGCGACTTTGTTTTATACTATGTAATGATATACATAAAATATATAGAGACACTGATTAATTGCATCAACAAGCCAGTATATGCAGACAATCCTCTATACATACAGATTGAATAACAGGTTTTGTAGATACAATGTGACGTATATACGCAAACATTGAATTCCCCCACGGCGCATGATTCACCGCGCCCACATACCGACCGGCCCACAGCTGTGGCTCTCGTTTTTTTATATATATAGTGTTAAAAGTAGTATAAAATTATATAAATATGTATATAAAAAGCCTAAAACTTATAAAACAGATTTTACCAAAAACTAAAGTGTAAAAAATAACTTTTTTTTATACAGTGTTTAGAAGTAGTATAAAATTATATAAATATGGTTATTATATTAAAAACTCATCATTGCCTTGCCTTTATACCATTATCTGTGCTCGTCGCAGTATGTCATTCTCTTCCACTGCTCTCTATCGGTCGTCATATCTGAACATACTTCCTATATTCATTGCATCCCATATCTGTGCTCGTCGCAGTATGTCATTCTCTTCCACTGCTCTCTATCGGTCGTCATATCTGAACATAGTCTTCTTTTATTCATATCATCTTTCACACAATCCATCCATCTTTTCTTAGGGCGTCCCCTCCCTTTACATCCATCCACATTCATATTATACACTTTCCATAAGACATGGTCCTCATTCCTCCGCATAACATACTAAAGTGCAAAAATGACGTATCATTACATAGTATAAAACAAAGTCGCTGTCGCTGTCTGTCCGTCCCTATGTATGCTTAAATCTTTAAAACTACGCAACGGATTTTGAAGCGGTTTTTTTAATAGATAGAATGATTCAAGAGGAAGGTTTATATATATAATACATGTACACCCGTGCGAAGCCGAGGCGAGTAGCTTATATATGCATAAATTAAATTACAGTGTCTGTTTGTAATTTCAAATTAACAGCTTTTCACTAAATGTATATGAAAGTATAAAAAAAAAATTGTGTGTTTGTTCTTGCTGATGTCTGAAATGGCTGGACCTATTTTGACGGGACTTTTACTCGATAGTTAATAGAAGTAGTAACTTTTGAATAATAAAAAAAAAACAAAATTTCTTAGAGTGATTCAAGAGAAAGGTTTATATATATAATACATGTACACCGGTGCGCAGCCGGGGTAGGTAAATAGTTTTTTTTATAGTATTGTTGTAGTATAAAATTATACACATACCTATATTTATATAATACTTTTAACTTAAACAGCTTAAATCCATTAATATTATTTATTAACTAGATGTACCCACGACTTCGTCCGCGTGGAATTTATCTTTATTTTTCTAAAATAGAAGATTTTTTCTAAAATAAAAGTAGCTTAAGTTACTCTTTATTACATCAGCTACCTGTCAATAAAAGTCCCGTCAAAGACCGTCAAAAAAATGAAATAACCGTTTTTATTGCATGCATATGAATAAATACGGTACATACACCAAAATAACATTTTTTACAATTTTTGTCTGGCTATATGTTTGTTCTGGCTAATCTCTGAAATGGCTGGACCGATTTAGACGGGACTTTTATTGGCAGGTAGCTGATGTAGTAAGGAGTAACTTAGGCTACTTTTTTTTTAGAAAAATAAAGTTAAATTCCACGCGGACGAAGTCGCGCGTACAGCTAGTAATATTAATAAGATTTTATTTGTGCTTCGTTTGTGCTAAAATGACTTAATACTGCATCAAGTATTAGTAAAAGTTTGTTGTGACGTAATAATGTTAGAACATTCCTAACCGGACGACCATGACCTTCCTCGGCCCGGTCGGTGGTACGTAAGAACTCAGACACATAATTATGTAACCGTTTACTATTAAAAAAAAAAGACTGATTTAAAAAAACAATGGTAAATAATATTTTTTTTATTGGTTCGGGCTATTGTCAGGTGCTTGGACCTGTAGTGCTGCATCTACATCGCTCTATTGTGCTCACCCTTTTCAAAGTTCTTCTATATTTCTAATGCGAAAAATGGGCTGTAACTTTTTAGCCTAATAATTAAATATAAATAAATATGACATTAAGTTTGTAAAAATATTACCCTTAAGGTGGTAAAATAAAATAGGGGATGAAAGTTTGTATGGACATTCGTCATTTTTATAGCTTATGAATTAAGCTGAAACTTATTTCTTTGGATTTTGGTGAAATTTAAACATTTTTCCTTTATTTGGTACTATTACAATAATAACATGACGACCTCGGTGGGCTAGAGGTTTAGCACACTGCCTTACTCCTAATGGTCGCGGGTTCGATTCCTCGCACGGCACGAAAATTGTTTTCATGATTGTTTGTAGCGGTTTGTATATGTTTGCGAAAAAAAATCTATGTATTTGTATAAATGTGGTATGAACTACCTGCCGAGGTTTTCTCACGAGACTACAGCATGGAGTTTTTCAAGAAGGGTATATTAAGGTTTCTCGAGGGTCGGCAACATGCACGTGATACCCCTGGTGTTTCAGGCGTTCATAGGCTACGGTAACCGTTTACCATCAGATGGGCCGTATGCTTGTTTGCCATCTACGTGGTATTAAAAAAAATATCTAGTACCCCTAACACAAGTTTTAGCCAGCTTAACTTGGGTCTAGATGGCACCGTGTGAATTG